CAATACCTGCAGGGAGCCGGGCTCGTATCGTATGGACTCCAGCTCCATGCTGCCGCCACGCCCACGGACGCCAGAGCGCAGGCGCGGGACCGGAGCGCCGGGTCAGGGACCCTGCTGAAAGCGGCGCACGCGCACCGAGGCCGGTCCGCCCAGACTCCTGGGACCCGCTATCGGCCCACTAGGCTTAGTCACCAGGCCCAGCACGACAGTAGCTTCCTCTGAACCGCAAAGGGGCAGCTTTTGTGGAGCACCCACTGGATGCCATCCCTTGTATTTAACGTGTGGCTGCTCGTATATGTCACACATTGACCTCCAACCTCAGGCCGGCACCATAAAGCACACGAGGTTATCACCCACAGCATTAATCTCAGGGGTCTCACCACACCAAGGCATTCGTTGAGGACCTCCCACCAGGATACTGGAGTGAACCCAGGGCCTTCAGAGAGAGAGCTACATCCCCTGCTCTTTTGAGACAGGGTCTCCTTACAGTGCCCAGGTTGGCATTCAACTTGCCATCCTCCTTTCTCAGCCTTCCAGAATATAGAAGTACCGGCCTGTGCCACCAAGCTGGACCTCAGCCAAGTTCTTAACTGCTTCCCTGATGCCCACTATCCTCACGGGATGGGCCAGCAGGCCACCTTCAGAAATGTGGGCACAGGCAGACACTGAATTTGGTGGTCATACCCCCAAAGCATCCCTACGGGCTGGAGACAGCAGGGGCCCAGTGGATGTTTGGGACATCCTCTCCCACACTGAGGTGTGGGCCATACACCCCTGGCGGACCCGCAGCCATTTTCCCAGCCATCAAATCTTTCCTGTGAGGTCCCGGTGGGCTGCCTGGAGCCTGGCCTCCCCACAGGGTCCACTGCTGCCCCTGGGCTCTCCCACCTTTCACTCCAGAAGTCGGCCCGAGTCATCTATGCCCTAACTGTGGCGCTGGGGCTCAGGCTGTAATCCACGGCAGGGGCAAAGAACAGGGCTTTAATGTTGAGTTGTCAGGGTCCTACAAGGCACAGGCGCCCAGGGCCTGGACCATAAATAACTGTGAGGCTGCGGGAAGGTGCGTTGTGGGGAGGCTGGAGGCAGGGCTTGCAGTCCAGGTGAACCTCCTGGAGGTGACACCTGTGCACGGCCCAAGCCCCTCACTCACTGTACTCTGAGTCTGAGTAGTCAGCCACCAGTGAGGAGCAGCCAGGGTGAGGGGTGTCCACTTCCTGGGAGGTGCCTGCAGGGGATTCGTCCTGGTGGCTCCCCTCCAGTTCCCAAGGTGGGCTGTTCTTGGGGCTCTCAGTTTTGTCTCGAGGGCAGTCCTTGGGGGATGCAGGTCCATTCTGGGGGTTCTCCTGTGGCCCTTGTGGTTCCCAGGATGTGGGGGGATCAGTGGTACGCTGGGGGCTCCCTGGGGTATTCCGAGCCCGCCGCACAATGCCCAGGTCACCCACGGTGATGGGGGCACAGGAGGGGGGTCCGGCCTTGCGGCCCTGGGCCAGCTTCTTCAGCATGTCGCTGGCCTTGCTGCTGCTGCTGGTGCCGGGACCCAGGATAGAGGGGAACCAGGAGCGGCTGATGATCTCTGTGCGCTTGAGCTTCTGCTTGTCCTCGTAGGCTGAGGGGAGGAAGGGGTATTTAGGGGGGCAGCAGGGGCTAGCGGTGGGGCTCAGTGGCAGAGTAGTTGCCTGGCATGCACAAGGCCCCGAGGCCACCCTCGGGGGCCCCCTAAAACTGCTCTGGAAAGACTGCATTCCAGAGCTGGGCCGCCCCACTTGATGCTGGGCCTCACACACTTACAGTCCAGTGTGTGGAACTTGAGGAGGGCGGCCAGCCTGCGGTCATCCTCAGTCTCGGGCACCAGGGGGATGGCCAGGTTGGCCTTGGCCTGCAGCGCCTGATCCCGCTCCTCCTCCTCCTGGGCGGCCTTCTTCTCCTCCTGTGTCGGGGATAGCACGGCGCAAGGTGAGAGTCCTGCAGCTGAGGTCTCAGTAGGCTCCTCTTCATGCTCCCGTGAGGGAGGCCTGGACACACAGCTGCAGGGCATTCAACTCCTCACTCTTGCACATGAGCAGGAGTCATGGCCGCAGTGACATCTGGGTACCTGGCCATGGTCCCTCAGAGGACTGAGCTGCCACTCTCTACTGCCTAGTGTCACTGCGGTTGGTGTACCTTCCTGTACAACACGCTTCCTCCTGAGGGGACACCTGTGACACAGCTACCACGCGGAGGCACTATGCTTGACAGTGACGGTGAATGCTGCTGCTGATTTACAGACTGTACTTTAAAGTATATATTCATTTCTGGTACATGTTTTTCAAAGCATAAGAGTTTTTTTTGGAGACCGCTCTTGCTATGCTGCCCAGGCTCACAATGAACTCCTGGAATCAAGCTATTCTCCTGCCTTTGTGTCCTGAAAACTGGGAGCTCTATGGTATTTTTGTGACAGCAGTGCAATGGATTAACACACGTCCCTCTGTGGTAGATGGGGAAACCAAGGCACAAGGGTGAAAAGATCTGCTTACTGCTAGAATATGGTGGGCTGCGGGCTGGTCCTGTCTTAAGCCCGCTCCCCCCCTCCAGAGCTTCCCTGACACAGGCCAGCGCTTCAGCAGCCCCGCTCCCCGAAGCCCCGCCCCTCACCCGGAAGCGCTTGCGCAGCTTGCTGTTCAGCGCGAAGTCATCCTTCCAGGCGCTCTGGGCCTCCTGCAGGTTGCTCAGCGTGGGCATGGCCTTGCGGAGCGAGCTGCGGTCGGCCTCGCCATGCTCCAGGCGGAACATGGCATCCGTCTCCAGCTTCTGCTTCTTCTCATGCTCTGCAATACAACAGCCGCAACAAGTCGGCTCCAGGGCCCCGGGCGCTAGCCCGCCGCACTGGGCAGGGCTGGCGGGCAGGTGCGCTCACCTGTGGGCAGCACCTGCTCATTGTCTTCCATGTCCCAGCGCTCCTCCTTGCGCTGTGCGCCGCTCACGATCACATAATCACAGTTGGCAGGATCCGTCTGCATCTCGATGTAGTTGACGCACAGGTGGCATTTCATCCGGAACCTAGCAGGGCAGGGGCAGTGTCCACTTTCTCACGCCCAAGTGCTCATGGCCGCCTATGCTACTGACTCTGCATGTGGTTCCGCCCTGTAGCCATCTGCACAGGTGTGAACCGGGGCAAAGCGCGGCTCACCTGACAGGTAGGGGCCTGGGTTCCATGCCAGCGGCACAGACACAAACCATAAAACCTGAGGCGGTTGGAGCGGACTTACTCACTCGTCCACTCACTCATTCCACGGGCCTGTCCAAGACAGGCTGGGGCCACCTGAGCCTCCCGTTCTCAGAGGGGCTAATGTTGGGGGGGCGTCACAGCAGGGGACAAACAATTGCCCACCACTGGGGTGAGTGCTAGCTCAGAAGTCCCTCTGATGGTGAGGTCTGAGCAGACAGCCCAGGCGAGGGAAGGAGAGAGCCTGCAGCCAGGCGGGAAGAACGCTCCAGTGCAGGGCACGGGCGGGAGTGTGGCCAGGTGGAGGATGGCGGGGCGTGGCAGAGCCATGGACACACAGCACAAGGGAGGACAAAGGAAGGAGCAGCAGGGCCTTGTGAGCCCAGGACAGGGCTTGGCTTTTCCTGAGGGAGGTAGGAGCCGCAGGGGGTTCTGGGTGGAGGGATGATTCCGGACTGACCATCGGGATGGCCCAAGGAGAGGGCACCAGCTTCTTCCCACTTCTTCCCATTCTCCTGTGCCCAACCCTGCCGTCCCCTTACCTGTAGATGGGGGTGGTGTAGTAATTGCCCACTTTCTTCTTTTCCGCGTTGTAACGAACGCCTGCAGGGCAGGAGAGAAAGGAGACTCAGGCCGGGCTATGGCGGCATCTTTCTTTAGCCAGCATCTTTCCTCTGGGATGGGGCAAGATAGGGGATACGGCTCCACTCAAAGGATGGCACCTCCAGCTGTCACCAGAATTCCAGGTGGGCAGAACGCGTCCTGGCTGCACCCACAACTGCTCACACCAGAGGAGCGGCCAGGCTGGAGGGTCTGGATTTGAATCCTAGCTCCACTGCCTGTGCAGCCGTAGGCCGGGTGCCTCGGCCCCTGGGCCCCAGTTTCCTTATTTAGTGAAGGAGGGTGACCACAGGAAGAAGCTCTTGGGAAGCTGCTGCAGCTGACACAGGAATTGCTGCAAATGGGGCCTGGCCCTTGGCAGGTGCTTAGCAAGGCTTGGCTTTTAGGTGGGCACAGTGGTGAAAGCCTGTAATCGCAGCATTTGGGGGACTGAGGTAGGACTGCTGAGTTGGGAGGCCAGCCTGGGCCACATAGTGAGTTCAAGGTCAGCCTGGGGTACATAGGGAGACCCTGTCTCCCCCATTTTTTTTTTTACTTTTATTACTTCTTTAGAGAATGTTACTTTTATTTATTTTTGATACAGGGTTTTAATCTATAGCCCAGACTGGCCCCCAACTCCCAACCCTCCTACCCCATGCTCCTGATGTTGGGTTTATATGTACGTACCATGGCACTGGCTCTGGATGAGTAATTTATATTCCTGACTTCTGACCTGGAGCAATAAAGCTTCAAGTAGAAAAACAGCGTGTTTGGTGGATAGCATGGCCTGCCTTGGTTTCCCCTTTCTGGGTGGCTACCTGAACTCATGGATGAGGCTTCAGGTGTGGTGCTGAGCTTGGCTGAGATCTGGTTTCTGTCCTGGTTTTGGGGTATCTACCCATTGTCCCTCTCTGTATTGGAGCCAGCCCTAGAGAAATCCTGTAACTGCTTCACTCCCAGGGGCTGGGCCAGGCCTGCCCTGTCCTGGACCAGGGATGCTGCCTGGAGAGGCCAAGGCCAAGAGGGATCTGAGCAGATGGCCTCACTGGGTCCTTGCCTATGTAGTGATGTCCCCAGAAACCCAAAGCACAGGGCGGGGGCTTCTGGAGGCCGCACATGGAGGCACTGGGGGCAGCACCTGGGGAGGTGTGGAAGCTCGTTCTGTTCACATGTGTCCTCGGTGCCAGGTATTTTTTGCAGTGCTGTGACCCAGGGCCTCATGTGTGCTAGGAGTGTGTGGGAACCACAGCCCCAGCAACCCTGGAACGTACTTTACAATAAACCAGGTTCCCTGAGTCCTGTGAGTCAGTTGAGCAAATTAACTGAACTCAGGGAGGGGGCTTGGGACCCCGATTTATAGCTGGCTGGTAAGCACAGGGAACACCAGCCACCGCTGGTGACTGGCATCGGAAGTGTTGTGGGAAGGGGACAGCCCTGGGGATGGCAGCTTCTCCAGGTGCGTCAGAGGACACCCAGTGGGGTCCTCTGTTGTGAGCTGTGTGCTTGGAGGGTGGTCCCTTGGGTGCCAGAAGGGACGGTGCTGATGGCTGTGGTCTGAGGAACCCAGGGAAAACTGGATACTCTTGTCTTGTACGACAGGGCAGAAGTGGAGCCAGGATCTCAGGTCACCTGCCCGAAGTCTCGGCTGCGGAGCTGGCGCCAGCAGATGGCCCTGTGTGGCCTGCTCTGGGCTGTGTGTGAATGAAAACAGCAAGGTGGCAGTAGTTTGCCTTTCCCAGCCTTTGACGTGGACTATGTACTTTTTCCTCTTGGTGGTACTAGAAACTGCATCTAGAGCCTTCACACTGAACTATTTCTCCAGTCTGCTTTATTTTATTTTGTGAAAGTTATTTATTTTGGTACCAGGGATTGAACTCAGGATGTAGCGCTTATGAGGCAGGCACAGTGCCACTAAGCTAAATCCCTGGCCCTTAATTTTATTTCTGAGTAAATGTAACGAAGTTACCCAGGCTGCACTCGAGCCTGTGACCCTCCCTCCTCAGCTTCCTAGAGCGCTGGGATAAGCCTGCACCACCGCACTGGGCATATATTAAACACCTTATATGTCATACAGCTGGGCCCTTGAATCGTCTCAATTTTAGAGAAGTAAACTGAGGCACAGAGAAGCCCAGTTGCTTGCTGAGGGTCTCTCAGCTAGGAAGGGGCAGAGATGGGCTGGGATCCAATGGCGGCTCCCTAATCGCTCTGCATGTTGGGTGCCTGCTTCCTTCCCGCCCCAATTCCTGATCAGGAGCCTGGGAGAGGACAGAGTCATGCAGTGCCCAGCACCTCAGGGCTCCCAGCACTGCAGGACCGAGTGGCGTGAGGTGGGCACTCACCCATGCCGATGTGGTTCTTACAGCCATCACACCAGATGTTATATGGCATCTCGAATCTGCAAGGACAGACAGTACTTTGTGGTTGGTTGTTTTTGAGACAAGGTCTTGTTACGCTGCTTAGCCCACAGCTCCTGGGCTCCTGGGCTCCCGCCTTAGCCGCCTGAGGAGCTGGGACTACAGAGGTGCACCAAGAGCCTGGCCAGACAGTGTCCTCCTGGCACTTGTCCACTTGTGCTGTCCCTGGGTGGGACTGTGATCTGAGGGGTGGTGACAGACACCAGCTCTGAGTGGGAGTGGCTGTTGTCTCCTTGCAGTGGACATGGATGGAGAGTGGGTAAGGAATCGATGCTGATCCTGCCATGTGCTGAGCCTCCCCGATCAGCTCTGTAACCAGTGACCCAGACCCAGTCACTGCGAGAGCCTCCTGGGGTGCTGCAGCATCTTTAATGCCTTCCTGTATCAGTGAGACACATTTGGTTATTTTTTTGCAGCGCTGAGGATGGAACCAAGAGCCTCATGCTTGCTTGTCAGGCAAGCACACACCCTTGAGCTACACCCCATCCCTTTTACAATTTTGAGACAGGGTCTTGCTAAGTTGCTTAGGCTGGCCTAGAACTTGTGATTATCCTGCCTCAGTCTCCCCAGTGGCTGCCACGCCCGACTCCTAGACAAACTGGAACAGAGGCAGGGGCCAGCTGCAGGAGGCTATGACAGGAGCAGTGCTGGTGAGAGTTTAGTAAAGCTGCTGTACTGTCACTGAACAGTCCTGTGACGACAGGGGTCTGTCCTAAGAACAGAGCCCTCGGCACACTTGGTCAAGTGAACATCACATAGTGAGCTGGGCGTGGTGCCAGAACCCGTCACCCCAGCACTCTGGGAGGCTGAGGCAGGAGGGTGGCAAGGTTGAGTCTGGCCTGGGCAACTTAGTTAGACTGTGGCTCAAAAATAAAACAAACAAACAAACAAACAAAACAGCTGAGGATGGAGCTCAGTGAAGGGCATGGGTTCAACTCAAGGCTGCCCAAATAATTTAAAAAACAATCCCAGGGTATAGGCTCTGATGTCAGTGTGATGCAGCCTCAGGCACCATCCTTGAATACACACTCCATCCTTCCCTGAGACTTGTTTTCTTTGGCAGCGCTGAGGATTGACTCCAGGGCCTTCACATGCAGGTACAGCCCCAGCCCTGAGTTGAGGGTTCAGCTGCTTCCTCCTCAGCAGACATTCCCCCAATAACTTTGCTACTGGTTCCTCTGCTCAGGCTCAGGGTTGACCGGGAGACTGGGCTGGAAGTCCCCAAGGGAGGCGAGATGCAGCAAAGGAAGGATGGACAAGGGGCTAGCTCTCCTGGGGTGATAGGAGCTGGCTTTTGTTTCCTGTAATAGGTCAGCTACCAAGGCACTGGCCGGAAACAAAAGGCTAAGGCAGAGGAAAAGACACTGGCCATTCTGGCATGATGGTTTTCTTTTTGAGATTGGGTTGCTATGCTGGCGAGGCAGCCGGGAACATCTGGGCTCAAGTGATTATCCTGCCTCAGCCTTCCAAGAAGCTGGTACTATACAGATGCCACTATGCCCAGCCCTGCCTTTACCCAAAGTCTCATCTCTATGATACTGCGATTCATCCCATGGAGAGGCCGCATCCAGCCCAACCCTGGATTGGTGACCCGCTTTGGCCAATGGATGAGACAAGAGGAAAGAACAGTGCAAGCTCTGGGTCTTGGCCTAAAAAGGCCCTGAGAGGTGTTGTGGGCCCTCATGCGTGAGCCTGGGCTGCCAGCCAGAGGATGAGATGTGGCAGGGAGCAGAGCCCAGTGGTACAGCTTGTGGCCCTACCGGACCAGCCATCAGCAGTAAGCTGCTTCCAAAGAGCTGAGTGCAGCTTGGCCAGCCCTTCAGAAAGTTCAGCAGCAGCAGCCAGACCTGTCAGCAACAGTGAGGTTTTTTTGGCTGTGCAGCACTAGCTAGCTGATACAATGACTTCCTGCTCCATGGACTGGGCCAACCAGGGGGATGCTGAGACTGACACAGGGAGCGCCAGGTTCTTACCGGATGATGAGGATGCCTTGTGACAGCTTCCGAGCCCGCTCCCGGAGGGGATGGCTGTTGTGGTATCGGTTGAGAGAGCCATGCTGTGGGCAAGGGTGAGACAGCCAATCAGCACCACTGAGCCTGGGCCCTCAGGCTTTGTGCATCCCTGCACTTTGGACCAGGGCCTCCCGGGGCAACAGGCCTTGCTGTTAGCTCTGGCAATGCAAGGGGCAGGGAGGGCTTGGGGTTGCTGTCTAAACCCCCAGGGCAACCCCAATTTTCCTATGTTCCAGTCCCTCCTGTGATATGGTGCACTATTTGCGTAAGACCTGCACAAATCCTATATGCTTTATTTATTTATTTACTTGTCTTTTTCAAACAAGTTCTCACTATGCAGTTCAGACTGGCCTTGAATTCACTATGCAGCCCAGGCTGGCCTTAAACTTCTGGTGATCCTCCTGCCTCAGCCTCCTGAGTGCTGGGGTGTCAGGAGTGTGCCACCATGCCTGGCTCATCTGATTTTATAATGGTTAGTGACTCTGTGAGCTGAGGGTTTTCTCTCTTCTGGCACAGACAGGTGACCCCATGCTCAGGGTCACACACAACTGGGATGCTTAGGTGTTGAGCTGGGAACAGCACTGTGGAATGGGTGGTAAGACACAGGTCAGTGACCGATGTGGCAGGGGTAATGTGACAGAGATGAGAGCATTCCCGAAAGAGGTGTCGAGGAGGACCTCTGTGAGGCCACTGGCAGGAGTGCAGGACCTGGTGGTCAAGAGGAGGAGGCGTGAGCCACAACAAACACACCAGGCCTGATGGAGGCATGGAGGGGACGGCCACCAAGCAGAGTCCTGGGTGTCACCCAGGAGGGAGGTGGCCGAGACTTGCAGGACAAGCAGAGGCAGAGAGGATTCGGTGGTCTCCACCATTCCTCAGCCGCGGCTCCGAGACAGGTCTCTCTGAGGATGGGGCATCCTTACCTTTGCAGGGCTGAAGTCCGGAGGGTAGTACTTGTTGACGCCTTTCCTCTCACCCTGGAAAGAAGAGAGACATGACATGGATGGGACCCACTGGAGAGCTGTCTGCAGCCCCGAGGAACAGGAGCGGGGCCTGAGCAAGGGGCATCGTGTCCAGCCTGCCTGGGGTGTGGTCACTTGCATGAAAACCTGCTGTCCTCACTGTGGAAGATCCCAGGAGGTTCAGATTCTTATGGGAGGGGCTTGCGTACTTTTGCGGGGACCACCGATGGTCCCTGACTTTTTTGGAAAGGGTCTAGGTAGCTGAGGCTGGCCTTGAACTCATGGAGATCCTATTCCCCAGCTTCCTGAGTGCTGGGCTTATCGATGTGCGCCACAGGTGATCACTGATTTAGGATGGTCTGGCTTATCCATTTTATTTTTGGGGGGCTTGGGATTCTACCCAGGGCCCTCCACACGCAGGGCAAGTACTCACCACTGTATCACAGCCCCAGCTCCTCGACCTAAGATTTTTCGCTTTATGACAGTACAAGTGTGATTTGCTTTCAGTAGTGGCTCTCCTTTGAATTCTGATCTTTTCCCAGGCTAGTGAGGTTCCACACTATTCTTTCAGGATGCTGGGCAGAGACAGAGAGCTGCAGCCCCAGGCAGCCTTGTGCCCGCAAGGGGAAGCAGCTGACCCCCACCACCATTTGTAGCAGTGCTGAGTGGATCCCACGTGTGCATGACCTGTTCTCCGTGCATGATGGTTTACTGGGAGGCAGCTCCATCCTAAGTTGAGGAGCATTTTTGTTTGACAGTGGAACTATGCAAACCAGTGGCACACAACTGTAAGACCAGCACTCGGAGGCAGAGGCAGAGGCAGGAGAATCCTAAGTTTGGGCCTAGCCCGGGCAATTTAATGACTTAATGAGATCCTGTCTCAAAATAAAAATAAAGCTGGATGAGGTGATGCATGCCTGTAAGGACAGCATTCAGGAGGCAGAGGCAGGAGAATTGACAGAATTCAAGGCTAGCATGGGGTGGCTACATGGTAAGTTCCAGGCCAGCCTGAACTACACAGCCAGACCTTGTCTCAAAAAAGCCTCCTCAAAAACAACAATAAAAAATAAAGAGTGGTGGGGATTGTGGTCAGTGCAAAGGCCTTGAGTTCAATCCCCAGTACTACAAATCAAAAACAAAAACAATACATGCAGCTGAAGAACGGATCTCCTGAAAAAGCACTGATTGTGCCCTAAGTCTCTCTTTCTAGCAAAACTGGCAGCCACTCAATTAAGTGCCTAAAGCCCCATCAGGGCAGTGGCTCTCAAGCTTGTCTGCCTGGTGCAACCACCTGAGGGTCTCTGGAGTACAGGGGCTGGGCTGCCGAGGACCTGCTGGGTGTGGCGCATGGCCCTGGGCTGTTCAGAGGCTCCCAGGAAAGTGGGGGCTCTCTCAAAGCCCAGTGCACACAGGCTGTCTGAGCACACCTTAGACAGCCAAAAGACAGAAATGATCCACATGGCCACCAGCACAGAAATCCCAGAAGAAACACAGCCCAGGGCTGTGGGTGTGGCCCAGTGTCAGTGTAGAGCACCTGCCTAGCTCTTACAAGGCTCAGGGCTTGATTCCCAGCATTGAATAAATAAAAAAGATGAGGTTATGGAAAATGAATTTCACCTCATTTGAGAAAAACAGAAAAACATCTCTCTAGGTAGACAGGCATGGTAGTGCACACTCCTGTAACTGCAACTATTCTTGAGGTTGAGGCAGAAGGGTTCCAAGTTCAAGCCCAACCTAGGCAATTTAATAAGACAATGTCTCAAAATAAGAAATAAGGGGCTGGGGATGGAGCTCAGCAGAACAGGGCCCCTGAGTTCAATCTCCTGTACTACAAAAAACAAAGCAAAACCGAACAATGCAAAACAAAAAAGAAACTGTAGGTGATTATTTTGGTGCCAAGTAAAGGTTTAGAACTACTTTATCAAAAGATTACATGCCTGTACTCTTTGTACTTAGGAGGCTGAGGCAGGAAGATGGCAAATTCAAGTCCTGCCTGGGCAACTTATCAAGGCCTGGAATCAAATAATAATAATAATAAAAAAAGGTTGGGGATGTAGCTCATTGATAGGATGGGTACTTCTGGGTTCCATCTCTAGTGGTGCAAAAAACAAACCCAGAAAGAATTCGACATCTAGCTTAGAAATTACCTTAGAGCTCAGGAAGAGGAGGACAGCTGAGACTCTGGGGCCTGACAAAAATGGAGTGTGAACCCCAGGGAGCAGGAGGCTGCCACTTACCATCTTGGGAGCTGTTACTGGTCCTCGCCCTCAAGGGGGTCACTTGGAAAATGGCCCAGTGCGGCCCTCCACAGTCTGGAAAGAGGCCACAAGCAGTGAGGGCCGGGTGATGCTGGCTCAGGGGAGCCTCTTGCCAGGGTAGGTGTCTAAAGAGCAGTGCACCTGATGAAAGAGAGAGAAAGAAAGAGAGGGAGGCAGAGGAGGGGACAGGGAGCGAATGAATGAATGAATATGAACGAATCAGTCAGCCCTGTCCACTCTCTGGCTGATGTTGATTTCACATCTGATACTTTCATCTCTCCCTGCCCCCAATCTAGGTGACCTGGTCCAGCCCCCATCACCTCCTGCCCTCGCTCTGCCCTGTCCCCTTCACGGAAGCCAAAGGGGCTTGCTTAAGCCCCTCCAGTAACTAACTTCCTTTCTTCCCTGGTTTCCTTCCTCCTCTTTTCGGTACTGGGGATCGAACTCAGGACCGTGCACTTGCGAGGCAGGTGAAAGAACCACTGAGCTAAATCCCTGGCCCTCCTTCCTTTTTTTGAAGAACGAAGAAAGCTGTGGCCCAGGGCTGTGATGCGGCTCAGTGGTAGCACATTTGCCTAGCATGCGTCAGACTCAGGATTCCACCCCTACCAGTGCAAGAAGCAAAAGCTGATGTTATAGACCTGGAAATCTGAATTTCACACAGTTGCTACCTGTCACAAGATAGCATTAAAAAAAATGTTTTCCCTGACTACAGGACCTGGCCAATTCCATTTCCTTTAAAATCAAATCTGTGTGGCCGCTGCTTGCCACTTGGAGCACCCCACCCTCTTCCAGCCACACGGGCTTCCTGGCTGTCCCCAGAGGGCAAACGCAGCTGGCCTGCACCTGCTGTTCCTCTGCCTTCCTGTCCCCTCTGTCTTGATTGCTCTTTTCATCAGCCATCTGCTGCTGTCAGAGCCACCTCTGGCACTCAAACTAACATCTTGGACTGGAGGTGTAGCTCAGCAGTGGAGTACTTGCCTAGCACATGTAAGGCCCTGGGTTCAACACCTGCACTGCAAAGAAAAAAAGTCACTTCTTCCTGAGTGTTCCTGTCCATCACCCCGTTTCCATTTATTGGTATATAGGCTTTTCTGTGGGGTTATCTGTGCTGTATTCCCCAAATCCAGCACAATGCCTGGCCCCTAATGAATCTAACTGGGTAATAGTCAGGTGTGGTGGCCTGTTCCTGTGTCTGGGAACTTGGAAAGCTGAGGCAGGAGGGTTGCAAGTTCAAACCCGGCCTTGGCAACTTAGTGAGCCCCTGTCAAACCAAAAAAAAAAAAAAAAAAATTGAAAAAAGTCTGGTATGTATATCAGTGGGAAGGCTTTGAGTTCAATCATCTGCAATACTCCCCCATACCACCACGCACAAGAAAGAAAATAAGATAAACAAAATAACCAAAAGGTTTCAGTATAATCCACATCCGTGTGGGTGACCTAGGTACAAAATCCAGGCAGAGGAAGTAGGAAATTGTGCCCAATGTTTGGAGAAAACTTTTAGGTCAAATAAAAGGAAGTTCTAGCGTGTAAAAAGGAAAGACATTGCACAGTAAGGAATGAGAATTGGCCAGTTTTCTCTGTTAAAGGCCAGGTATTAAATATTTCTAGCTTTTTGGCTCAGAAAGAATGCGCTCAACAACTCAACTGTGCCTCACACCTAAAAGAAAACACAGATGATACACAAACAATATTCTATTTTATTTCTCCCCTAACCATTAAAAATTTGAAATAATTTTCAGCTTGAGCAGTTTACAAAATTAGGGGTGAAGGGCCAGGGATTTAGCTCAGTGGTTCGGTGGCCTGCCTTGCAAGCGCAAGGACCCGAGTTCGATCTCCGGTACCCCCCCCAAAAAAAAATTAGGGGTGGGCTCGTTTTGGCCTGCAAGCCTGGTTACTGGCCCCTGGTTAGGAAGCAGGAAACCTGGTCTCTAATTAGTAATCTATCAACCTATTTGCTTGTGCTTTGAAGTTTAGAGTGCCAGGCACTGTGAATTTTCAGTCTGACGCTGCAAATTAAGCCATGCATTCCGTTACCAGTATCTCCAGGTAATGAACAAGGACACGGGGGGGCTGGGTAGCTTGGGTAGCATCAGAAGCTGGCAGCAGAGATTCTGATGGAATGACGGGCTGAGGTGGTGCGAAGTCTCAAATGAAACTGTTCTGCCACCAACCCAGACCTCTCTTGGTCTTGTATTCTCTTGGATGAGAGCTTTCCAAGGTCCCTTCCACTCTAAAAATACCTTTGCCAACAAAATAACTTAAATGTCAGGCTTTGGGGTCACAGCTCCCTGTGCTTAAATCCCTGCTTCACTCCTCCCCAGCTGGGTGGCCTTGGTCAGGGCATGGGTTCCCCTGAAATTGCACCTTTTCACTGGGGGACCGTGGACAGGCAACAGGGACAGGACTTTCCTGGGTTGCTGTGAAGGGAAGTGTTTGCATAAAGGAAAGACTCAGTTTACAGGGGCAGGTGTGTGTGTGTGTGTGTGTGTGTGTGTGTGTGTGTGTGAGAGAGAGAGAGAGAGAGAGAAGACGGTTTTGTCATCCTAGCGAATGATACAGGTGAGGTTGTAGGTTGTAGGGTGACGTGCAAAAATCAGGATCAAGGGTAACCACTGACCCCATTAACTCACAGCTTGAAATGGGCTCTCCAATCTGTTGCTCCCGATTTCTGGCTTTGGGCAAACTGCTTACTCTCTCTGAGCCTGTTTCCTCACCCGGAAAATGGGGGTTTAAAAGGTATTGATTTGCTGATGTTGCTCTGAAGAAGAATGAGTGATTGAACTACTCAAGACGGCACCTGACGACACGTTAAAGGCCGGCAGTTTGGTTATTTCTCTCGCCCACAGTTTTAGAAGCATCGTTTTACACAACCTTCAATACCACTCAGTGAGGTAGGGTCCTGAAGGTCTCATTTTCTAAAGAAAATTGAGGAGCCCTTCGGGTGTAACAGGGGCCAGGGTTGGGTAGAGGATCAGAGAGTACTTAGATTAGGTCTCGCAGCGAGAACTTGGGACTGTTCCAGTCGAGTCCGTCCGTCCGCCCACCCGCACTTACCTGTCCTCCACCTGACGTCACGCCACCGCTGCGCCCGGAAGTGCGCCCTGGGCGTTCAAGTTTGCGTAACGCTCACCCCGCGTGACGCAGACGTCGGAGCCAGATAGCAGCGCCTCACTGACTGGCCCAATGGCGAATACGTCGCGAGAGTAGGCCAATCCAGTCCTGCCCCGCCCCACCGCGCTTACATCACTATAACCCCCCCTTAACCCCCCCCATCGTCCCGCCCACTACGCGAGACGCACTCTGAAGCCAGCTTCCTGGCCCGCCCACCGAGGAGCACGGTTTTACTTCCTTAAATCCCACTGAGCCAGGGTGACCTAAGTGGAGCCAGGTAACTGGCCCCATTTTGGCTTTTTTTGTGCTGCTGGGGATGAAACCCGGGGCCTCGTGCATGTTAGGTAAGTGCTCTGCCAGAGCTACATCCTTAGCCCCAGTCTCCTGGTTTTGTGCAGTTAGTGAACTAAGAATCGTTTTTCTATTTTAAATATTTTTGGGAAAGAATAGTGTTTCTTGCCTTATGAAAATGATTTAAAAAAAAAAACCTAAACTTTAAGTGTCCATAACGTTGTAATGGAACACAGCCATGTCTGTGCCTTAAATGGTCACAACAAAGTTAGAGGCTGAGGAGCTTTAACCATCTGGCCCTTTAGAGAAGAGGGCAGAACCTTGCTTAGTGCCTCCAAACTAGCTGGACCGTGCTTTCTGCACAGAGACTTTTGAATTCATTTTGTTCTTTTTACTTTCCTTTTTCCTTTTTTTTTGGGACAGGGTCTTGATAGGTAGTTTAGGTTGGTCTCAAACTCAGGGCAATCCTCCTGCCTCTACCTCCCAAGTGCTGAGATTACAGGTATATGCCACCACACTTGTTTTGAAATTCACTTTTGCATGGTGTGGGGCCTAACAGAGTCCGTTTATTATTTCATTCAGTGGCTATCTGCAGTGCTGGGGGCTGAACACAGCTACATCCTAGCCTTTTGATTTTACTTGAGCAAGCTACATCCTACCCCCCTTTATTTTGAGACAGGTTATTGCTAAATTGTCCAGGCTAGACTTTAACTTTCAATCTTCCCACCTGAGCTTACCCAATAGCTGGGATAATAGGCAGGGCCTATCAAACCCAGCTCAGTGGCTGTGTATCAGGCATCTGCCGTATGCTAGGCCCTGCAGACTCAGGCACACTTTTCTCCATGGTGAAGCAGCTCTATGCTGGTAATTTCCCCCAGGAGGTGTGAGAAGCAATGATGATACCGTCAGATTATGCAATCCACGTTTTAGCCCTGTTCTCATGGAATCGTGGTATTACCGCTTCCTTTGCCAGTTCCCAGGACTTCATTGCCTCAATTTTGGGAATGTTCCTAGGAGGTAGATTTTTATTGATTTTACAGATCAGGAGATAGATCCCACACACCTGTGAGGAGAGGCGCTCAGCTATACCAGCTAATTTGAAATCTTGAGCCCTTGTCCTCTGAGCTGCACTGTTAGGGGTTGTATGAGGCCAGACATAGGTGGAATCTTTAACGGGGTGGGGGATTTAGGAGCTGGCAGAAGTGAGGGTCAAGACCCCGGAGGATGAATGAGGCTGAGGTAGGGTGGAGGCAGCCTCACAAATTCCTACAGTGAGGCGGAGCTCACTGTTGAGCTCATTTAATATGCCTGGATTTTGATTGAGAACCTGAACCAAGAGGTAAGTGACTGAAAAGTCACAGAGTGTCACCCTGTAGCCAGTATTTTGGGCAGGGGGAGATGTGAGGAACCTTAGCTTTCAAAGAACACTAGACCCTCAGTGGTGCTGTTCACAGTTGGTGGAAGCCAGACCCTGGCCTGGAGAGGCTGTTCCTTAAGGTGCCCAGTGCATGCCAGGGCCTGTGGGTCAGAGGAAGTCACACAGGGAGAGGACAACAGCTGGCCTGGGCAGGGTGGTGGGCAGGAACCTTCATTCCAGCTCTAGGTCTGCAGACACCACTGTTTCCTCCTGGGGAAACAGTAACCCTGGCCTGGTTCTGAGCCTCTGTTTGCTGCTCTGTAAAGTGGATGTGAAGGCATTCCACACCTATAAACATATCTGGAAAATGGTTTAAGGGAGAAGGCAAGGCAGGGCATTCCAAGATTTAGGGGGACAAGACGAGTCACTGTGGAGAAGGCAGGCTCTAAGCATGATGTTTTCAATAAAGTGCAAACCCACTTCCCTTGTCCTGGCACCTTCCAGCCCTATTTCTGCTTTTCAGGGCAACAGAGACTAAGCCTGATTCCCACTCGCCACACTTCAGCTCCCTCCCACCTCTAAGGGTCTGTGTGGTGTGGGGATGGAAGGCAGGGCCTTGTGCATGCTAGACAAGCACTGTCACCGACTGACACCCCCAGCCCTTTAAGGTCTCACCAAATTGCCCAAGTGGAACCTGTACTTGATCCTTCTGCCCAGCCTCCTTAGTAGCTGGGATCACAGCAGTATGCAACCACACTGGGCTTTACATCTTCTATATATAACTGCTCTGTTATTGTGGATGAATCTTTCAAGGTGTCTGCTCTACCTCCACCCTCTACTTCCTGAGCACTCAAGTCTCTGGAGTTTACCGCAGTCATTTGTACTTAGTGGGCTTCCACCTGGCAGTGGCTGATTGGGCAAGGGTATCAGTTTTAATCGAAGCTGGGGCAATCAGGTTTGCTCCTGGGAATTGTTTTTATTTAAAAACTTTATTACAGTAAAAGACATATTGCTATTAATTCCTATCAAGACTCTCCTGGCTTTGAATACACTTATCCCATTATCTGTGCTACTTCCTGAAGCGGTTCTGGAAGTCCTCTTTCATGAATGTCTTTAGTTGTGCTATTGTGAGAACCTGAGAATTTTTTCTTTTTCATATGGGGATCGAACTTGGGGTATTGTGCTTGTGAGGCAGGCAGTGGAACCACTGAGCTAAATCCCTGGCAAAGCCTGGGAATTTTGAACTGGCCTCCAGAAGTTCCTGACCTGAGGATATGGAAAGCTGGGACTCAGTGAAACACTGCCGTCAGCTTTGTGCAGAGTAAAGCAGAGGTCAGCAACCATGGAATGAGACCAGAAGAGAAAGGAACAGGAGGAGGAAGAAAGAGGGAGGGGAGGGGAGGAGAGAATGAGAATCTCATGGTAGAAAAGGGAAGAGCCCAGAAACCTGCACTTGCTTTTTAACAATTCACCTTTGGTAACTAATCTAGCCCTGCCCATTCCTGAGGTGGGAATGAATCCTTCCACTGTCTGTGCCCTTAACTGCCTCTACTAGGCCCTGCCTCTTAAAGATGGCTCACCACTCAATGGGTGCTGTAGACCCAGCTTCCAGCATAGGAACCTGGGACAAATCACATCCAGGCCACAGTAACGCCTCAGTCACACTGGTGGGATTCTTAGCGGGACTTGCATTGAAGTGGTGCTTCCAGGATAACCTTGTCTTCTGCAGAGTGAGCCTAGGTCAGGACTGCAACACAGAAGCTGCCATGACCACTGGTAATTCTGGTGCCTCCTTGGTTAGGTGCATGGCTTTGCTCCCTCAGCTCTCCTCCAAGTTTCATTCTTTTTTTTTTTTTTTGGTATCTGGGATTGAACTCAGGTCCTTGCGCTTGCAAGGCAGGCAGTGGCACCGCTGGACTAAATCCCTGGCCCTTATCCAAGTTTCTTAACAACAGAAATCTGCCAAAGGACCTGGTTTATCCCTGAATTTTTTTTCTTTCTTTTAAAATGGTTTTGAGACAGAGTCTTGCTTTGTATTTCAGACTGGCCTGGAACTCATTATGTAACCCAGAAACCCAGACCGGCCTTGAGCTCATGCTCTTCCTGCTTCGGGCCTCCTGAGCATTGGGACTGAAGGTGCAAGCCACCCCACCTGGCTTGTCCCTGAATTTTCCAACCCAGCCCGAAGTACTGTACGATTTTATAACTTGCTTAGCTAGAAGGGCCATGGCGCTTTCATGAATGCTGGGTTGCAGGGACTGGGGTGTGACTCCGTGGGAGAGCATTTGCCTAGCATGTGTGAGCCCTGGACTCCGTCCCCCTGGAAGGAAACAGAGAGGCAGAGTCCACTCCTCTCTTTACAACACATTCTGAGAGAGAGGGTGTGTTTGGTGAACCTAGTGCTTCCAAAGCCATAAAGCAGAGCTGAAGGAATAAAGAATTAGGCTCTCCAGCTTGTGTGAAGGTAAGCAGCTCTCCTAACAGGTCAAATGCTGTATTAAAATGTAGTAAATGGGCCAGGATTTAGCTCAGTGGTTCTGCTGCCTGCCTCACAAGCACAAGGACCCAAGGTTGATCTCTGGTACCAAAAAAAAAAAAAAGTAGTAAAGAATGTCCTTTTTTTTTTTTTTTTGAGACACTGTCTCACTGTGTAGCTCTGGCTGGCCTCAAACTCTTAGTAATCCTCTTGCCTCAGTCTCCTGAGTGCTGGGATCGAAGGTGCAAGCCACCCTGCCTTGGGATTACAGAAGAAACTACTGTTAAGACAATGAACAGTGGGAAATATCTGAATGTCTCTGATATATCATATAACCATACATCCACGTGTTTTACCTTTTTGTTCAGCAAAGTAACAACAAAAAAAAGTTGCTGGGTAAACATAAGAATGTAAAGAATTTTAGAGCTAGACATGGTGGTATGCACCTGCAGTCCCAGACACAGGCTACTTGGGAGGCTGAGTGGATGATCTCAAGTTCAAGGCCAGGATGGGCAACCTAGTGAGACCCCTTCTCAAAAGGATGGGGGTATAGTTCAGTGTTCCCTGGGTCCAACCCCTGGTAAAACACACACAAGAGAACTTTAAACATGTAGGAAGAAATGGGAACCCAGTACTCAGCAGAAAACTGTATCTGTATCAGTGACCTGTGATGGTGCTGATGTCACGATGATGACATAGTGGCGATTAAATCATGATAATGATGTTGTCCACTTGCCTTTTCATCTCTCCCTCTCTGGTTTTGCTGTTCACCCACTGAAACTTCCCCAGGACACAGGCTGTGATGAAGACAGGTCCCAAGACAAAGACAAGTGGAAAAAGTCAAGACTATCAAATGGTGGAAGGTGTGGGGGACAGATCATAAGAATCAGCACAGCCACCTTGGTCTTGAACCCAGTGGCCACCAGGATGTTCAGCCTGGCACCAGGGTGGGCGCCCTGGAGAGAGGTGATGGGAAAAGAGAGTTCCATGGCTTCATCCACATGGACAGCTCCCTTTGCTAGCATCTGTTAACCTTATTTGCCTCTGGAAAACTGTATCCTTTATATTATTTCCCAAGGGTGTGGGGTAGGGGTAGGTAGGGAGTCACCAGCTTAAAAAGATAAGATCCAGCCCCTCTCCTATCCATCTCACTGGCCACAGCTCAGTAGCACAGTGGTGGTCTAGAAGTCCATAGGACTGGGGCTGAGGGTGTTGCTCTG